TTTTGTATTTTTAGTAGAGACGGGGTTTCACCATTTTGACCAGGATGGTCTCGATCTCTTAACCTCGTGATCCACCCGCCTCGGCCTCCCAAAGTGCTGGGATTACAGGCGTGAGCCACCACGCCCGGCCTGGAACTTTTTATATATGGATAGTGTTTAATAGATATTGATTTGGACCACCTGAGGTCAGGAGTTCAAGTCCAGACTGGCCATCCTCGTGAAACCCCATCTCTACTAAAAATACAAAAAAAATTAGCTGGGCATGGTGGCGGGCACCTGTAATCCCAGGTACTCAGGAGGTTGAGGCAGGAGAATTGCTTGAACCCGGGAGTTGGAGGTTGCTTTGAGCTGAGATCGTACCACTGCACTCCATCCAGCCTGGACAAAAGAGCAAGACTCTGTCTCAAAAAAAAAAAAAAAGATATTGGCTAAAAGAGCAAGAGGTAGCTCTTGCTGTCAGAGGTAGCTCTCTGTTTTCCAGTTCTATGTCTAGCTCTGATGTTGCACCCCTCACGAGCATATTCCCTGATTTAAGACCAACAACATGTCTGAGTAATCGTAGAAATGGTTTGTGCCTCCCGGACAAGGTGGCTCACGCCTGTAATCCCAGCACTTTGGGAGGCCAAGGTGGGTGGATCACTTGAAGTCAGGAGTTTGGGACCAGCTTGGCCAACATGGTGAAACCCCGTCTCTACTAAGAATACAAAAATTAGCTGGGTCTGGTGGCACATGCCTATAATCCCAGCTGCTCAGGAGGCTGAGGCATGAGAAGCGCTTGAATCCAGGAGGGAGAGGTTGCAGTGAGCCATGATCATGTCACTGCACTCCAGCCTGGGCAACAAAGTGAGGCTCCGTCTCAAAAAAAAAAAAAAAAAAAAAGAAATGGTTTGTACCCTACTATTAGCTCTGGTTTGCAAGTTGGACTCTTTTCTGTCCTCGTTTCTTGTTCAGCTGCTGTCACAAGTCCTGACCTGGACATTTGAGGATAGAATATCAAAGTGAAAAGATTTTTCCTGGGTCACATATTATGGAACTTGCTTTGTGTCTGTAGTTTGTGCACAATAAAATTTTTTTTTTGAGATTGAGTTTCTCTCTTGTTGCCCAGGCTGGAGTGCAAATGGCAGGATCTTGGCTCACTACAACCTCGGCCTCCTGGGTTCAAGCGATTCTCCTGCCCCAGGCTCCCTAGTAACTGGGATTACAGGCGTTTGCCACCACACCCGGCTAATTTTGTATTTTTAGTAGAGACAGGGTTTCTCTATGTTGGTCAGGCTGGTCTTGAGCTCCCAATCTCAGGTGACCCACCCACCCCAGCCTCCCAAAGTGCTGGGATTACAGGTGTGAGCCACTGTACCTGGCCACACTGAAATATTTTTATCTGAAATCACTTGTAGTAGTTTAGAAAGATATGTGTAATTCAGTTTTTTTTTTTTTTTCCTGAGATGGAGTCTTGCTCTGTTGCCAGGCGCCAGGCTGGAGTGCAGTGGTGTGGCACACTACAACCTCTGCCTCCCAGGTTCAAGCAATTCTCCTGCCTCAGCCTCCCGAATAGCACGGACTACAGACGCATGTTACCACGCCCAGCTAATTTTTATATTTTAGTAGAGACAGGGTTGCACTGCGTTGGCCAGGATGGTCTCAATCTCTTGACATCGTGATCCGCCCACCTTTGCCTCCCAAAGTGCTGAGATTACAGGCTTGAGTCACCGCGCCCGACCCATACAGTTTCTTTAAAGTTAAAAGTGGGGCTAAAAAGGGCGGATAGGGTTAGCAGAGTCAGGAATGATGATTTTTCCAAGTCTTTTACGCAGATTGTACCAGAATTATACCTTTCAGGTATAATTATGTACCTAGTTTCAATGTGCACCTTCCTTCATCTCTTGTACCTCACACACTTGAAGTGAATGTGTATTTTAGTAACTCTGCACACTGTTTGGATATCTGAATACTGACCTGTCATCTGACCATGCCCTGATTTGCCCTGTGTCTACCATGCCTCTCTGAACCTTGTCTGTGTTACTTTCATTGGACCTCAAAGTCTAGGTTGCATTTCTGTCTTTAGGTCTAAAGCTTGCTGGTTTCCTTACTATGGCCGAGCACTTTTTTCTCCTTATTTCATTACGGTTCTGCTTTCTTACTGACTTCTCAGTAGTCTTTGTTTTAGTCTCTAATGACATGAAGCTCTAATGTCATGCATATGAGGTTGGATGGGAATACCTGGTAATTACTGGCATATTTGTGAAGAGACTGTACAAATTAATATAGAATTGGCCTGCTGTGGTGGCTCATGCTTGTAATCCCAGCACTTTGGGAGGTCGAGCTGGGTGGATTGCTTGAGCCCAGGAGTTTGAAACCATCCCAGGCAACATGGGAGAATCCAGGCTCTACAAAAAAATAGAAAAATTAGCTGGGTGTGGTGGCCATGCCTGTAGTCCCCGCTACTTAGAGGCTGACGTGGGAGGATCACTTGAACCCAGGATGTGGAGGCTGCAGTGAACCCGAGACCGCACTACTGCATTCCAGCCTGGGTGACAGGTGAGATCCTGTGTTAATAAAAAAAAAAAAGAAAGAGAGAGATTACAGAATTGGAATGTTAACGTTTGATCTTTCTGGATGTTTCTGAATAGCTAAAATCAATGAGTGTCTTATTTATGATTTTGCTCCCGAAGGATAAAACTTTGTATAGAATTAAAGTATAGTTATATGTAACTAAAGGATAATAAGCTTGACATACTTACGGAAAGCCAATAGATCTCTCAAAGGAGAGATTAAATACGAAGTTCAATTAAGTA